GAGTGGGGAGAAGGAGAGGGAGAGAGGGAAGTCGACTCCCCACTGAGTAGAGAGCCTGACGTGGGGCTCAAACCCAGGACCCTGGGATCATGATCTGAGCCAAAGGCAGACGCTTAACTGACTGAGCCACTCAGGTGCCCCTGTCCTTTCTTCTTTTTAACATTCTCTAGAGATGATGTATCCAACTTTCCAAACGCACTACAGACATCTGGGTTTGCTCGTCTTCTGCTTGAAAAATAATAACATTTCTCAAATCGAAAGAAGAAACAGAGAGATGATAGAAATCAACCCCAGCACGAACGGTAGCTGTAACGGAATAAGGATTGGGGTGGCGAGGGAGGGCGGGAGCGGGGAGCGAGATGTTTCTGCAAAAAAAGAAAATGCGTAGCTGCTTAGGAACCCTGAGAGCAATAAGAGAATTCCTCCACATGGGGTTGGTCACTCAGTCCAAGCCTGAGATACTCCAGGCGGCAAGTTTGTTTTGAACACAAAAAATAACATGACGTCAGGAGAGGGCTGAGCACAGCCTATATTCTCAACCCTTGGCTCACAAGACCCCTCCCAGGAGGAATCCGATCACTGCCACATGCCAAGCCCTGAGACAAATTACTAGAGGAAAAAGGGCAAAGGTTGAACTAGTCCCCAAAGAAAGGGATCATTTAATGACAGGAGGGGCTGGGGAGAGAGGGAAGCTTTATTCCCCAAACAGAACCAGGGAGAGATTTCAGGAGGCAGTGAAGGGTGACAGGCAGGACCTTTGATGCCCTTTGACCGGAACAAAGGTTGTAGATACAGCTTTATCACGTAGCAAGAGTCCTGTGGGCCATTTCCTATGCCAAATATTTTACTGTCAAATACCCTTAGCCTTTCACCGACTGACCAGTAGAAGGAGTTTCTCTTAAAGAAACAGAACATCTTCCTGTCTTCCTGTAGCTATACAAACAGCTCGTGAAGGTCCCATCCTTCCCAGTGTCTGATGGTGATTTATGCACCAATATTTACTCAGCTCAGGCTCTGGGAAGGAACAAGGCAAAGTCTTCAACCTCGTGTAGTTTCCAATCTAGTGTTTCACAGTTTCCAATCTGTTTTTCCAAAACAGACAGCAAGAAAACGTGCAACATCCTAAATCGTTCTAAGGACACGAGGAAGAAAATCGAACAGATAAAGAGTGGGGGATGGGAGTGCCCTGATTTTAAGGGAGGTGGGAAAGAAAATCCTCCTTGAGCTGATGCTTTACAAGAGGCATAAATTAAGGGCTATCTGGGGGGAACAGCGCCTTAACAGATGGCACCTGCCGCAAGACAGAGAGCCCTGGCTTGGAGGTCACACAAAAGGCGTCACCTGGAGGAGTTCAGTGCTGCTATCCTGCCACAGGACCCAGCAATCCAGACTGGCGAAGAGCTACAGGTTTTTGCAAGAGGACGGACGGTCTGAGGGGATTGTGAGAAGGTCTTACAACATGAGAATTAAAATAAATCCACCAAGTAGTGAAAAATAATGGATAACTACATATTCTCTCTGGATATACACACACATACACACACACACACACACACACACACACACACACGTGTGTGTGTGTGTGTATTTTATCACTGTGAAAAGAACCCCACATGGGCCAGAGCAGCACCATTGCTTGTGGACGCCTCCAGAGCAGGAGTCCTTTGAAAGAACCCAGAGCACGACCGTGTACTGGTGACAAGACGGGCGTGGGTGTCCATCCTGACTTTGGTAGAAATCCAGGCTCTACCACTTCCTGCCTGGCTTTCTTTTACCCTTTCTAGCACTAATTTCTTCATCTTTAAAGGCAGGACGGCACCTGTTCATCCTGGGCAGGGTTCTGAGGATACTAGGAGATGGTCCATTTAATATGCACAGTGCAGTACCTGGTACTAATTGGAGGAAAAACAAAAATTCCATATTTATGGCATGTTAATATCATGGTGAATGTATGATGTATTCAACATGGAATAAGATGTATGCATTATTATTAATAAAACCATATTATTTGATCACAGGGCTTTAGAATAGCCAGGCATTTCAACTGATTTCTGTTTAGCTTACGGGGAGTTTCTTGTTGTAGTCGTCTTGGTATTTTGGATGCTTCCCTTGCTGTAAAGAGACATAAGGCCATGGCTGATCTGAATCTGTTAAAGCATGAATGAAATACCAAGGGCCATGACTGTACCAATAACAGGGGCAGGAAACCAAGAGACAGAGATCTGGCTGTTTGGAAACCCAGGGCAAGGTTTTCCTGCTTTGCATACCATGACAAGACATTCTGTTGAAGGCAAGTGAAATTTATTCAAAATGCTTTTCCAGAAGCAGAGGGATCTTTCCTCTCTTCTGAATCCTTGGCATTTGCCTGGGTCAAATCACAAAGGTGCTCTACAAATAAGACATGACAACCATGCTCTCCCGAAGAAGCTGCCAGTGGTACAAGGTAATGAATAGCCCGGGGAGGAGAGCCCCCAGAACAAAGGGAGACAGACGCCGCCATTTCTGCAACACTCAATCACAATGCCACGGCCAGGAAGCGGGCATCTCTGAGGGACTCAGGGCATCTGGTTCAAAGCCTGCTGGAGAAAAGGTCCCAGGCACGATGCAGGATTATTTGTCATTCTGACATCTAGGAGGAAAAGGGGTCAGCTGGACCAGAAAAGGCTGACATCGTTGCCAACTCTACTCATGTTCACGTTCAAAGTGCCTTTCTTTATGGGGTAGGTGGTGCAGATCGCAGTATTTTGTAGATTGGAAAAACAGAGGTGCCACGAGAGCCCTGATTAACAACAGTTGGAAAAATGGCCAGCCTCGCCTCCCAGGATTCAGAACAGGACACCGTCCTAGGGAACAGTGGCACCAGCCACTCCTGAGGGGCTCGTTGCGCCGGTGCGGTGTGAGTCCCTTATGTCCAGCACCTCATCTTCCCCCAAAATCAATGAGGCTGGTGAGGGTTTTGCCTGCATTTTACAGATGGTGTAACCAAGACCCAGTGAGGTTCACTGAGCCACTGAGATGTGTCTGAAGCCAGAGACTCTAGCTTGGAAGAACTACCAAACTTCCTTTCCAATTTATGGTGATCTGGGGAGTCTCACAAAATAAAGAAACTCTAAGAACCGGATGGAGAAAAATTACTAACAGATTGCTGTGATGAACATGGGAGAAAGAGATCGAACAGAAGGTAGAAACAGGTTTAAATTAAATATATAGAGTGAGTCTGTAAAGGTTTTGGTATCAGAAGTAGCAAGTCCGGAGAGAGTGAAGTCTGGGGTGCCTGGGTGGCTCAGTGGGTTAAAGCCCCTGCCTTCAGCTCAGGTCAAGTTCCCAGGTCCTGGGATTGAGCCCCCACATTGAGCTCTCTGCTCAGCAGGGAGCCTGCTTCCCCCTCTCTCTCTGACTCTCTGCCTACTTGTGATCTGTCTGTCAAATAAATAAATAAAATATTTTAAAAAAAAGAAAGTGAAGTCTATTATGATTCACCCAGTGACTGGATCACTCTGTCCTTTCCCAGGAGAATCCTAAATGACCACCTGTCGTCATGGAGGCAGGGGCAGTCATAGCAGCGATCACAGCATCATAGCACGATGGGGGCCCAGGAAGGTCAGGTCTGGGGAGTAAATCTCACATAAGGATTTTGAGGTCCCTCTGTCCATACTGCATTCTCCCATCCAGGACCCAGAAAACCCTTCCTTCTCCTTGGAGATTTTGCCCACTGGATTGTACATTTCTCTTAAGAAAGGCCTTTATGAACTTCACAATTCCCCCTCCATGGCAACCAGCCCACAAGCAAAAACAGGAGTCGATGGGCATATTTACTTCGAAGCAATGGCAAGTTTGCTTTCAGACCTGAGAGGTACTGGAAGAGAACTCTTACTCCAGAGAGTTCCATCAGGATTTTTATGGTGCAGAACTGACGGATGCCACTCAGATTTAGAGGACCGTGACCCTAAGTACTGAGAGACAAGCATATCTGAGAGCATAAGGGGTACTCCTGGATTATAACATTTTCATAATGAAGGTAAAACATGGAATGTCACTTTTCATTACAAAAGCCAGGACACTGTGAAACTTGTCACCTCCATATTTTCTCCTTTTACATTTTACTTTGTATTGCAGGGTCATGTTCACTAATGAATGATGGAGGTACTTAAAGGTGGACTCATGCATGTGTTTTTTTTTTCTTCTTCTTAAGATTGTATTCATTTATTTGAGAGAGAGAGAGAACAAGCAGAGGGAGGAGGAGGCTCCCCACTGAGCAAGGGCCCTGAGGCAGGACTCGATCCCAGGACTCTGGGATCATGATCTGAGCTAAAGGCAGATGCTTGAATGACTGAGCCACCCAGGCATTCCCAATGCATGTTTTTTAATCCAGTTATTGTGGAAGAATTAGGGAAAGATAGGGGTATATGCGATATATATAGGTAGGCACTTTCTACTTAAATCAATCAAAAAAATGCAATTAAAGAAGTTAGTAAAAAATAGCTGAGAAGTCACACATGACAATTACATAGAACCAGGAATCAAAAAGAACCAAAAGGATGTGAATGAAGCACTACATAAAGCAAGTGTATCATATCACCTGTCTCTCCACTGCTGTGTGAAAAGTCAGAGGTGACCCAGATTTGCGTGAATCTCTAAGACTTGAGAGCAGGGTCTCAGCCACAGCTGAAAAGTATCAAGAGAAGCAGCCTAGTTCCGCTTTAGAAAGACAAACCCTGAGACAGTTTATAAAACTATGATCAAGAGCAAACTGCAAAGGTGTTTGAAATTTTCCATCAGACGCACCCAAAAAGCCAGAACCTTCCTTGAGCGAATTACCAATGAATTGGTAATGGAACGACAACACTTAAAAATACGTGGGTTGAGCCAGCAGCTGACTCCCACATATTACTTGTCTATTTCTGTATACTGCTTGTGCATATGAGTTTATGGTTCTTCCTTTGTCTTTCACCGGGAAAGATAAATGAGTAAGTCGTGATGGACACTCAAATGTTACATACTATTTTCTTGTCGTATGACTCTCCGCTGCTGTACGTGGTGGCCAGTGTGGACGAACACTCTTCCAGGTACCAAGGCTTCTTCCCACTCTCGGCCGTGCTGCTGATGGAGATGGTGTAGATGCTGTTGGTGTAGCCGTCACAGGAACAGTGATCTTTGCTCCTTCCACCGTTTCCTGAGGCCCAGACAAAAACAGAGCCGAGGCCTCTCCGCCCCTGTTCACAAACAGAAAAAGTTAAATGACAGAAGACACAGATCACAGACTCTAAGTGCAGAGAGCAATAGCAACGGGGCACATCAAATAGCTGTAGGAGGGGTGTGATGCTATTTTAGTAATGCGCTGGATGTAGGCTGTTTTTTGAGGTCAGAAGAATTGCTTTTTATCATATACATACACACACACACACACACACACACATATATGTGTGTGTGTGTGTGTATATATATATATATATATATACATATATATATATATATTTTTTTTTTTTTTTAAGAGAGAAAGAGAGGATGAGCCTGTGGCAGGGGTGGTGGGGAGAGGCAGATGGGGAGAATCTTAAGTAGACCCTGTGATGAGCGTGGAGCCTGACCCAGGGCTCGATGTCATGACTCTGAGATCACGACCTGAGCTGAAATTAAGAACTGGACACTTAACTACTCACCCACCCAGGCGACCCAAGAGGAGTTGCTTTCAGAAACTAAAATAATCTGATGTAATGTATAGCTCAGTGACTCCAGTTAATAATCCTGTACTGTTTATACGTAAGTCGCTATCAGAGTAGATCTTAAAAATTCTCAACACTAGAAAAAAAAATGTAACTCAGCATCGTGAAAGACTATGGTACTAGACTCACTGTGGTATTCATTTCCCAATATATACAAATACCAAAGCAGCATTTTGTATGCTTGAATATAATGTTACGTGTCAATTACATCCCAATAAAAAACCCTAAAATAATCCTTTTCACACGCCACAGTCATAGAGGTCACAAGAGTACCAATGACAACAATAAGAGGTCCCACCACGGACCAGACACAATTGTAATTGTTTTACATGAATCAGACTCAACTCTTCCAACAACAGCTGTGGGAATGGTACGATTTTGTCCTTATTACATAGATGAAGAATTGAGCTACAGAAATTAAGAAATGTTCCCAAGGTCATATAGCTAGAAAGTGGGAAGACAAAATTTGAACCCCCCAGCCAGACCGCAGAGTGGGCATGTCATTAGCTGTGATTACTACAGACCTATACTAGGGCTATGAGTATCCTTCCACATGAAATGGTGCTCTTCTGCTCCCTCAGTCGACATATGAGCAACATGAGGAGTGGAGAGGTTGTGCAATCTATCCTTAGGTCACACTGTTGGTGAGGAGCAGAACTAGGGACAATGAGACTTCCAGAGCTGTGCCTCCCTTATGTATGCAATGAACACTAATGAAGGATGTTAACGGATGCTTCCCAAGATGGAAAAAAAAATATCAAGATTAAGTATGTTTGGGAAATTCTAAGTTAATCAAAATGAAGCAGATTCCCCTACTGTAGAACTCAGTGATTGTTCTTTGCAAAACTCTATGGGAGATATTATCCTATGTTTTTTTTCCAGACATATTTGACGGTGGGATACTTTCTTCCACCCCATCTGTGAAATTTTTCTTACAAAGCTAGGAGATGGGGTTACAGTCTTCATGTCAAAACGTGGCATCCATCCACAGCGTTTCCTCAGGTCATAAAATAATTAAGGAGAAGAAGCAAAGTAGAACATAGATGTACCGAAGCATAAGGACTAGTTGGTTCCGTAAGATAAGATCTTCATAAGAAAAGAGAGAAGTTGGCCAAAGTGATGTGTATCTTTCTGAATAGGTGGAACGGAATCCCTCAGAAATTTTACTTTTTTAAAACTGGAAGGCACTCTGAAGGACACACAGGCCAAATCTATCATTTGGTAATTAGGGAATGAGAACAGAAGTCACTAGCTGGTGATGGCAGACCCTCTTTTTTGCTTTCAGGCCCTAGCTTTTATGGTCTCAGGTGGAAAGAAAGTAGTTTGGGATGTGGTATTGGAATTTTTGGTAAAAGAGCCAAGGAAAGAGACGAGAAAGAATTTGAAATATCCTTGATAAACTGTCTCTGACCTCGAAACCTCAAGAAACAGAATATTTATGACATGATTTGACCTGAACGTGGATTTCATTTTGTCTTTCAATGTGGAAAAATGCAATATGATTGCATAGGAATGGGAAAAATTCATGAAGAGAGAGGGAGAAAAAGTTCTGGATACTACTGCCACTTGACAGCTGGATCTGGTTTACCATCCTTCAGGTTGTCATCAGACTATTCAGGAAATGTACAGAAGGATGCAAAATTCACTCAGCCATCATAAATGAGGGATTTTGTTCAATGCTTTGCAAATCTCTAGAAGGAATTACCGCTCACTATGGTGTGGATGGCCAGACTGAGAAACTCTAATGACTGACTCATACCCTCACCTCAGAGAGAGAACATCATAGCCAGAGAAGGAAAGGTCCAATTCATCATCAATAGGTACCCTCTCTATCACAGACTGAGGGGCTGTGTTACTGGCAAAGACGTGGTCACACTGTAGCTTTATCTGACAGGTCCACAGAATGTATGACATAAGCAAAAACCACTCCTGGTTTAAACAGCACTGGAACAGATAATAGATTAAGAACCACAAAACCACGAAAAAGCACATCTGGCGCACACACACACACACACACACACACACCCATTCAAAATTATGACTGGGTGCCTATGTGTATAATTCACTGAAAAGATCGTACTTGGTTTTAAAAGAATATTTAATAAGAAACATTTAGAAGGTAGTTTTGACAATGTAATTACAAATGGAGGATACAAAATGATGTAATATGGTCTCAGTTTGGAAAAAGAATGTATGTGTGTGTGTGTGTGTGTGTGTGTGTGTGTGTGTGTGTGTGTGGTGTGTTTAAAAAGTTAATGTGTATAAAGTTAAATGCATAAAGTTACCATAAAGTGACAATGTAACAGAACTTAATTCTGTTTGGTAAGATTAGGAAAGATTTTTTTTTTCTTTCTTCTTCATACCATCCTTCCATGACCATATGCAATTTTTATAAACAGAAACAAACGCATCTATTCCCCTCTTACGAGGGGAAACACAGGGCCAATTCTTAAAAGATAATTTTTACTTTATGATCACAAGAGGTTTTACACACAGAAGGTTCATTGTGCACTAAAGAGACTAACATTTATCGACATTTATTATGCACCAAGCACTATATAAACATTATTCTGCACAATTTAAGTCTATATCATTTCACAGATGGGTAAACTGGGGCTCAGAAATGCTCATGAATGCTAGGGCCAGACCTTGAAATCCAACTAGAGCTAAAGCCAGCGCTCTTTACCCTCAACAATAGTCTTCTTTTGGGCAAAAAGAAGGCTGGTTGGTTGTTGCTGTACTATTTTTAGCCAAAGCTCCAGTGTCTTCATTGAAGTTCGGCTTTCAAACCTAAGAGCAGACCAGCCCTCTAAGCTCTTTCCAGATTGGTCACAGGATTAAAATGATAAAGAAAGGAGGCATGTGTGGTCCTGAGCATTCTAAGGGGAAAGGACATAGGTTCAGACGCAAAATTCTGCCTAGAAATCCCAACCTGACCAGAGATCCCTCAGAAGTAGGACCACAAGTCATTCTATCATGGCGGCATCCAGAGGGAACACCACTGTAAAGGAAACAGGACTTATTATGGAGTCCTCTGGAGATTCGCTGGGATGACAGAAGGAATGGCTAAAAGAACAGTAGGTTGCCACTGCCCTCAAAATGCCCTTTACAGATAGAAGTGATATCCCTCCATCAAAGATGATTTGAGGGAATTACTTTATAACTGGGCATGGTGAAGGGAAACATCAAAGGACAGTATGATATCAATAACTATCCCAAACCCCCATAGGATAGAAAGAAGCTGGGGAGTGGTGGGGAGGGGTTGTCACGGGAACTGGAAACAGAAGGGCTAACAGGAGTTAAGACATGACTAGGGACATACCAACCCCTGCTGGCCCTGCTGGGAGGGGACCAGGGGAATATGAACTGAGACCCTTATCTCTTTCTTCTCTCCCATCTCTCTCCCAGAAACCAGAGGTCATATGGATCATATGGATCATCTCTCTCCCAGAAACCAGAAGTCATATGGATCTTTTCCCTGAGCACGGAGCTTGTGGAGAGACGGGGAGAGAGCATCTGGAAAATCCCATGGGAGACAACTGGCACTGTCCTTAAGGTATGTTACGGAGTGAGTTGCATCCCCTCCCCTTCAAATTCATTTGGTGACACTATAACCCCCAGTGTGACTATATTAAATACAGAGGAGACAAGCAAGAAGGTGGCTGTCTCTTAAGCTGAGGAGAGAGGTTATCACCAGAACCCAACTCTGCTGCTACCCTGAAATCATGGACTTCCAGTCTTCTAGCCTCCAGACTTCGAGAAAATACATTTCTGCTGTTAAGCAACCCAGCCTGCAGTATTCCGTTATGGCAGCGCAAGCTGACTCATACAAGAGGGGAGGGGGAAATAGAGGGTGGCCTGCCCCCCAAGGAGGCAACAGAATATATAGACACCGCTGCTACACTATCCACCAGGCATTCTGACCCTTGTGCATGTGTGTAGGGTTTCTGATTAAAGTCCCAGAAATAAACAGGCTAATTTGTGGGCTGAAAATGCCATAAAGATTTGTGCTAAAGATCTATGGGGTTAATCTGAAACAATTAGCAATTCAAAGATTTATTTACTACAGATGCACAGCAGATTCCCATTAGAGTGCAATATTCAGAAAATCAAAACATATGTGGCAAAAGAGAATCTAGACATTTCTCCAAAATTCAGAGTAATTGAAGAATTAAATCCTAATGTGGGACGTAGGGAGAAAGGAAGGTGGGCAGAGTAGAATAGGGAGTAAAGAATCTTGAGACACATATTTTCCTGAAGTGTAGGAAATGACATTTTCAAGTATTGTGATTGCAACTGGTTATTTAAATATGACTTTGGATGAAAAAAAAAAATCTTCCAATTTAGTTGAGTAAGAAGTTAAAAGTAAACTCAAGGCAAAATATATTGTGAAATCCATAAAAGACCCATTTGGCCAAACTCTATTCTTTTTCATTGTGTATTTAATTCTGCATGTGTTTCTTCTCATGTATGCCCCTACAAACATCAATTTA